AAAACTTAAGCGCGGCTTACCGAGCACCACTCTTAACGTCAAGGCGTGCAAACGATCATTGTCGGTTACGATAAAATTTAATTTTCAATGAAATTTTAAGCCGCTGGCCTTAAACCAAAAGCACGTACTAAACTTAAATAAGATACGATAGGAATGCTATTTCAAGCACCTCGCAATAATTTGTCGTCGCATTTCCATGGATTTATTATTAAAAAGCATAATTCTTCAATATTTAATTAATCGAAAATTATTTTTTCTTAAAGTATGACGAAGGTAAATTGCGTAGGTACTACTTTTAAGATTTTTTACTTAATTTTGACATAACGTGTACTTTAAACGAGAGAAAAAGTTCTCAAAGCACGAGATACGGAGAAGATAAACAGTTAGAATCAATTAAAGTTCGTACATTAAAATGACATCGCGCTGTAAAGTGCTGCGATAAACCGTTCCATTACATTATATTACGCATCGTATTGTCATAAAGATTTACATAAACTGCAATTACTCGTATTTCGCGGATTTGCTCACTCATTGTACTAACATAAAACGATATCTGGGTCGAACAAGTGAAATGCTGACATGGAAGGATATTTTACTTTGGATGATTGCGAAATACTGAGAGAAAGCAATTTTACAATATATCGTGCGATTCCGATTCCGATTATTATCGCATGCACAATATTTTGAAACGTCGCTTCTGCATTATTTTTATTACTACTAAGCGCATAACTATTTATGATACATTTCTGTCTGCTAATTGCGCGAGATACTTCAAATGTCGATGATGCCTGCTTATCGCAGTTGTGATCGTATTCAATTATAGTAAAACTTATTTATGCATCAAGCGGCAGGGAGATTCACTTGACCTCAATAACGCAGTGTAAATAGCATAATTAAACATGTAATTAAATATTCTACGCGACTCTTTTCTTTTTTCATCGCTCATTACGAAAGCGTTTTGCAAATTAGATCATTACTGGAACAGTCAGTGCGGGATGTATAGCCGTGTCTATGCAGTGCTGTTTCAGTAATAGGCGCACTAATTCAGTGAGCAAATGGATCACCTTAATATTGCGTATAGCGAGATGGAAATGCAGCACACAAATTTAAACCTAACGTAGAAATTAGGTCAATCTTGATTCTCGATGCGTCGATAATTCGAATCAATTAATGAATCAGTCAATAACCAGATTTGCGTTAAATCGCTTAGCCAGCTCAACCGAAATATAACAGTCAAATGCATTATTTTGCGTGAAAAATTTTTCGCGGATTATTTTATGAAAATTTTACAAATAATTTGCTCAAATACATAGCAATATTTTTGTAATAAAATTAAATTTTTATTTCCACGTTAGAATACATCAAAGAGAATAATGTCGAAATCAAGTTTATCTGACGATTAATAATCCTGCAATTACAATATGACTCGCCAAATAATTTGCGATAAATGCAACATCAAAGAAAGAAGATGCAGCGCGTGCTATTGGCGGATTACACAAGCCAGTTTGATCCACTAACCGAGCAATCTGCACTAGCTGTACAACGCGTGTAACGTGCTATTATCGCGCTGCGCATCATCGACGAGCCGTCTCGCTTTCAATCGGCGACAGTGCGCCTGTGTGGCTGCGCCATCACGCCATATTACATAGGAGGAAGTTTTCCCATGGATCTTGGTGCCCGTGCGTGCTATTTCATGAATAAAATTTCTCCAGTTTCACATCCTCGTGTTATGTAAAAATTGGAGCAAAAGCGCAGCGCGCGCCGAGGCGCCGCGCCGTCGCGCGAACATCACGGCGCGAGGTCGCGGCGTCGGTTTGCAAATGCAATGTTGCGGAAGCTTCCACGCGTGTACGAGAAGCGATGTGTGCGCGGAATCGTCACCTTAGGCGAAGGGTATTCTTCGCGAAAATTGAGCTGGCAGGGACATATATCGAAATGGAATACGTAAGGCTGCGCATGGCGAATGCATCACTCGAGATATTGCGATCCCTGATTTGAATAAATATCTAATATAGATGAGAGCGTGTAACATGTAAATGGCGCTTAATAAAAGAAATATGCCATAATTAAAAATTCTACGGCAGATGCTTAGCCAGTACAATTTAATTAAAGAAATATTGCCAGCAAATAAATAAAGTTAGAATTATCTAGATACATAAAATTTACCCGTCGCTTGGGGATAAACATGAAAGCTGTTGACTCAAAGAAATAAATAAAGATATAAAAGCAAGCGTATGTTGTGGCCTTCTTCGTAATGTTGCGCGGAGAAAGGGATGATGTTATGTTTTCCGCAGACACGTAGATTGTTACCAATGGCGTTTTCTCAAACGGGCAGTCTGACATGAAAATACTACGTGCATGAGTTTTAATGCCTTGGGCGGTAATCGTTATGTAATGAATAATCACAGTTTCTGGAATCTACGATTACGACAAGTTATAGCTACTAAATAACCTCTGATTTATGCGCTTCTGTCCGACGCGTATATTCTGTGCAAATTAAATTATTTAAATAAAAAAAATTTCGCGGATGAAAGTACACCGCGATAATCCTATATCACGCTTCCCCATTCAAATGAAGTAAATCGCATCACCTCCATTTCGATTCGATTCACGGGTATATCGGATCTGCCGGTCGCCGAGAAAGTCGTTTTATCACAGGAGCGTATTTCCTGAATATCGACCACACCGGTGCGAGCCAATCGATACTGTGTCGATCCGTGAAAATCACTCAATAATTCAGAACGGACGCGAAACTAGATTCCGTCGCGATTCCGATGGCAAAAGCGTAAAAATCGAGATCGCGAGGCGCGATTGCCGCTGCTAAGCTGTAGAAATATTGCATTCCAATGGGACAATGCGTTAATAACTGCTCTGCAGTATTCAGCGAAATTATTAGTCGAATCGATAGGATCGGTCAATCGCGAGTAATTAGTGATCCGCTTTTTTCATCGCTGTGAATGAAGCGCGCCGTATCTATTGTCGCGCGCGGAAAAGGCACGCTACTGATTAAGTAATTGCGCGATTAATTCGCTAATGAGGCAATTAATATTCGCACGAGTTTTTCACCTTTGCTCGGCGGGTCGGCTCGGTTCGAGGGTGAGAACGAAAAGAGCAAACTGCAGCCGCCACGCATTGAATTTATATATTCGAAACCGGTCAGGGCTGCCGGGCGAGAAAAGATACGTGCGCGGGCGACTTTCGCGATATATCGGCATTTTTCGCGAACGCCAAATAATATAATGGCTTTCACTTCGCGTGCCGGAAAACTCGTGGCCCGTATGATAAGCGGGGGCATCGTGCGAAAACGAAAACTAATTAATAGGATGTAATTAGCCGTGTTGCGTTTCGACGCGTTGCACTTCAACACCTTCGACGTTGAGATGCCAGCAATCGCTCGTTGCCGCTGTTACGTACAAAGCGTGCGTGTTATGAAAAGCTGCTTTAAAAAAAAAAGAAAGTATAGAGGAAGCATGCGTTAAATATACGTACACGATAATCTGTAGAGGGGAACCTAATCTTGGTGGATTATCACGCCTCGATGTTGCGTTCAAACATAAACAGTTTGTAACATACTTATGCATTCATATTCGTGCGCATATTTTTAGCTCGTGTTTTTAATTATTCAATATTCTTATCTAATATTTTTAACGCTATGCTTTTACACTTTTACAAAACATAGATTTGAAGTTTAGATATTACATTTATTCGGTATATTATTACAGTTGCTATTATTTTGTGTACCGCAATAAGTAAAATTAATTAACAATAATAAAGTGACTATAAAGTTTTTGAGATAACAGATATAATACAATTGTGAATGCAATTCCGAAATGATTGGTTGAGCCGTCAAGTACCGCTTCGGACAAATTACAACGATCAAATCGCTCACAATGATGGACAATCCTTCAGACCTTATTAAATTATGCGATTTTGTTTTCAGTTTGCAACATAGTGCACCATAGCAGCTGGAATTAGTAGGTTGAGGTAATAAGTAACAAGCGACGGCGGCGGCGGCGGTGGCAACGGCTGCGGCAGGCAATCTATTTAGAAAAGAATTCAGGTCTCTTAAGGCCATTCAACGACCCGTAATTCCAACTCTTTAGAACGTTTCAGCGTTTGCGCCAAACGTGCAACTCCTTTTCGATGCGAACGTCTCGTTTCCAGCGTAACGAGCGGGCCATAATCAAGACCGCTGCTTCGCCATTCTTGGATTTATTTCCCTTCTTTTTGCAGCCGAGGACGAATTTTTCGTGCGACAGTCCGCTTGTGTCCGAATGTAAACTTCGGTGTTACCCGTGATTTTTAACTCACGGACACTGCGCAGATAGTGGTTTTCATGAATAGTAATAACTTTCGATTATTTGAACATTGTGCGGACTTCTACGTTCTTTTTCCCCGCAAAAAAGCATTCTGCATTCAAATAAACGTAAAAAAATTAAAAATTCTAAAGCCTATCGAAAGCCTGGCTAAAATAAGCACTGTTGAAATAAGCGCATTACCCGACGTCTCTGATTAGTTCATAGCCCATCGTGACCCCGAAGTCGAGATGCCATTTTCATCAATCGTGACTCTCCGTTAAATTACCTCTTCACGTCTCTTCAGCAATAAAGTTGCAACAAAATATAATGACGTGAAGTTAAAAATGTATTTTTTTATTATCAGTATTCCGACAATAATTGCTCGGTTAACAATGTGCATAATATATTTAATTATGGCATTATTGGAAGAAAATATTTTTAAAGATATCTCTTTTTAATTATTTTTAACCATCGTTTTTTAAATCTCTGCTTATGTGTATAGAATAATATTAATAACTTTGCAGTTTCCAGTGAAATTATAAGTCGATAGTATCGATCGACTGCAAATAATCCGCTTTTTTAATTGCATTAAACGAAGCGCGTCCAGCTTATTGTCATTACGTAAAGGAAGAAGACGACGGTCACTTGCTGCTGTAATTAATTAATTAATCGCGCGATTAGTGCACTTTCTTGATTTAACAGAATGTTGCAGACCATTGTGAACACCACAGACTGCCGTAAAGCATCCCTGAAGCATCGCACCGATGAAGAACGTTTGCTTTCATCATCTAAAAGCCTACTCGAATTCATCCCGCAATCGCGGGATAACGACGCATCGCACCGGCCGAGAGCTGTCCAATTAGCCAAAGTGATGATCATTCGGCGTCACTCGACGCTGCACCTGCGCCGTCTATCGCAACCAAGAAGGATCCGCGGCTGCTGGCCGCGTGCAAGCTGTGTGCTGTGTACCGCTCGCGCACGTCGCGCACCACGCCTGCCGAGAAAGAGAGTTAGTATCGTAGGTGACCAGGTAACCCGGGTGGTGTGCTCGGTCGCACTTGGTGCGGCCCGACGCGTAGAAGTCGAGCGTGTGCAGACCGCACGGTGGGGCGGGAGGAGTAGGAGGCTGCTACGACCATTAGACGTGGACATAGCCGCCGCGAATACAGCCCACAACGGGGCAACCTCTATCTATCGCGCATTACCGTAAAGGGGGGACCCCCCTTCACCCTCGTAGCCGGGTGGTGGGACTCGCGGACTCGCCGGCGACGGCCGCTCGGTACGTACCGCGGATTATAGTTTTTCTGGAGGGAGGGTGGTGGAGCGCCTTGCTTGCTTTCGAAAGGATGGTGATTGTGGAGCGTGTCCAGAGTAGAGTTAGGCGTATATAAGGCCCGCCGGCCCGGCCCAAGTCAGTCATTCACCGGACTACCAGCCCAATACACACACCAAACATGAAGGCCTTTGTGAGTATTTCCCACAAACGGGGTCGGTGAGGTGTTCGCGTCTGTCTCGATTGGCTTTAACCGTCGTTCGCTCTTCGATCGGACTTTATTAGACCTTTATTTGCTTGCGCATTTCTTTGCTCGCGACTCTGTCGCTCTGATAAACGGTCGCTTGTTCGAAATCGTGTGTTCTTTTCCTTCATTTGTTCTTTTTTATTAATTTATCGCACACTGTTTTAATTGGATCGTCGTCCTTATTCGCCGCCGTGAATGAACAGTGAAGAAAACAGCTTTCAGAAGTTTAAACAGTCTTCAAATTGTTTCGAGTTCTCCACGATATTACTCGTAAATTTCTTACAGTCGCTTCGAAAGTTTACCTCTGTAAACGCTCATCTCCCGAATGTTTTGTTCTGAAGCTTCTTAATTGAAACCAAACAAGAAACAGAATTAAAACAAGATTGCATTTAGAATACTGTTTCTGCAAACGAAAGGCAAACGAGGCCGTTTCGCAAGCACGAAAGCTTCGGATCGCGCTGATAAATGCACATCTATTAACGTCTCCATTGTGTCGCCGCTTCTTCGCTTCTTATTGCATCCGCGATGGCGATTCAATGTCACGGTTGGGGTACTCTCGCTATTTTTCCCGACGGGCAGACAGACAGACGCACAAACAGACAAACCGACAACTCTCATTCATAAAGCAAAGAAATCTTACCGCATCGCGCGCCGACCGCTCTCGGCGAAACCGGTTGTAGAAGTAGTATCATCATCGTCATTGAATAAGCGAGCTAATTCGCGACCGGTTCTATTCTCGGCGCATCTTCATTCACTTAGCGCATCGGTGAATGCGCGTACCTTGTTATTTTCTCTCTCTCTCTCTCTCTCTTTCTCCACCGTTGCATTCTCGAACTTTCCTTGTCATTTCACGTTCATAACATCCGCTGGATCTACCGTTACGTTCCGTCTTGCTCGTCCTGAAAACGTGACACAATTTTAATTTGCCTATTTTTACACCTTCGCATTTGTAATATCTCGATAACGATATATCTCTATTATTATAACAAATTTTGCAATGTTTTTGTTTTCGCATTTTCGATAAGATTATCGATAATAATATGTTTATTATTACAACCGACCTTGCAAATGTCGCGCGGTCGTCGGAAATAGCGGGCCGACCCGCTCGGCGTTCGATTGCACGGGACGATTTTGAAATCGGCACGATCGATCCTTTTCAGATCGCGAGGTCGCGGGAACGCTCGGTCAGCCACGTCACACGAGTGCGGCTGCGAGATAGTTGGTTTGTTCATTGGTTCGTTCGTTCGTTCCGCGTAAACGGGATGTGAAAGTTTCGCGAAGTCGTTAGATATGCATAATTCCAGGCCGCGGTGCCATTTGAGTTCGCAACGGTCTTAAACCGGGCGTGACACACGCGTCGTCTAACACTGGCTCGCGTGCGATCGCGAAACATTGGTTACGTACAGCCTCGATATATCTAATCAGCCGATTGCTGTACAGCTGCATGAAACACTTCCTTTCTAAACGCCACTTCCCGTATTACGAGCCACGGGCTTTAATCATATCTCGCGAGATATGATGTAATTGCCAATATATATCCAATTGATCGCTATAATTTCACGTTTCTTAAAAAAATTTCTTGGAATTTTTTAACTCGGACTCTAATTTAGCAAATTACGGGTTCATTAATTAATATCGATAAAATTAAATTAAATTGAATTTCAGTAACGTAAACTTGCGCTACACGGCCGATCACGGATTAATTATCTCGTGCAATGTATTTCGCGTTGCACCGATCGGCGATTCACGTTAACTCGTTCGCGTGGATTTTATGCAATCGCGACAACTTTTTCTAGCGACGCGGGTTGCGCGTACCGCAGCCTATTAACGAATACTCCGGAATCTTTTCCTAATACGGTCATTAGGCGTGGTGACTAGGGTAAGCGATTCGGATGGGAGGGAAACGCTGATTACGAAACGTTACGGTAAGCAGTATTTCTCTTGCTCGATTTTCTCCGTCGACGCGCGCGCTTTCTTATTGCGCTTTCATCGCGTAACCGCGCCGCCCTCGCAGCGCCGGTGAGATTTCGAGATCATCTCGGAGATCTGGAAACCTCCTCTCGCACGCGAAGCCATTTCCGTTGTTTTTAGAGCTCACGATCGCGAGCCGACGCTCGTGGAAATCGAAAGTGAAAGCCGCGATTTATGCCGCTCGGTAATCGGCGCCAAGCCAATGGAAATCTCGATTCGTAACAGCGATATCACCGACGACGCGCGCGCGTGACGCTTCCGTAAGCCGGCGCGTGTTCAATTCGTCATTTTTCGAATATCAACGATTTCGGCCGGATGGTTCACGTCTGACTCCTTGCGTTTTTTTTTAGTATTGTGTTCGCCTGCTTAGCAGTGGCGACGGCGCGCGCCGGAATCGCCCATGGTGGTGGTCTGGCCATCACCGGACACGGACGTCTGGGTGGTGCCGGTTTGACCGGTGGACTCGCCGCTGGTGCTGGAACCGCCGCCTCCCTCCAGGGTGGTGCCTCCAGCTTGGGATCCGGCGGTCTTGGTGCCAGCTATGCTGCTGGTGCGGCGGCGGCGGCTGGCGCTGCTGGAGTTCAGCAGATCGTCTCTGGTGGTGCGTAGCCAAATCTGGAACTCCAATCATCGTTTGGAGATCGGACGCCTCGATGTTCAACAATTGCTCGCTCTTTTTCGCAGGAGTGATTGGCGGCAGGTCTGACATCGGACCCGCTGAGGGACCGAAGGCCAACGTTGGACCCCAGACCGGACCGTCTGATCTCGTAGGACCCCAGGAGGGCGCCAAGTCCGTCGGTGGACCCCGCACTGGACCGGCCAGTCTTGTAGGACCTGCTGCTGGCCCATCCACCCTTGTTGGACCGTCCCAGGGAACCGCCACCCTCGTAGGACCATCCCAGGCTACCGCTAACCTCGTTGGACCGAGCTACGGTGGTGTTGCCTTCTACGCCGGATCCGGTGGCATCAACGGTGATGACGGTAGCTCTGGTGCTGCTGCCAACGCCGCGCCCGGTGGTGGTGCTGGTGCCCTCGTCGGAGGTACGTTTTCGAGATTTCAGATCAGATAAATTGCACAAATGAGAAACAGATGGATATATTTAATTTTTGTCTTGTTTTTTCTTTTTTTACGCCTACAAAATATCTGAATGTTTTACCAATGTGATATTTTTTCTTCAAAAAGGACTCGGTGGACTCGGTGGACTCGGCCTTGGCGGTGGACTCGCTGGCCCTGGTGCCATTGCTGTCATCGGTGGTGGTGGTGCTGGTATCGGTGGTGCCCTCGGTGGCGGTGATGCCGGAGTTGCTGTGATCAACGGACCGTCTGGCGCCATCCACGCCGGACTCGGCGCTCACGGTGCCGTCATCCCCGCGCCCCTTGGCAAGTGGGCATAGACGTTTTAAGACCCCAGCGATCTCGGCTCGGCGACGGCGGCAAACCCACCACAGTCACTTACCGGTCTCGAACGATCCTCAAACGCGCTCAACGTCTTCTTCCCAAAGCTTCGTCCAGTCTCGGAACATGGTCGGAGCGCTACAGTGATATATGATCCGGTAGACGCTCGGAATACACACAGAAAAACGGTCGATCGGTCGTACGTATGGCGCGCACCGCGAACCGAATGATGCGCGATTCGAAAGACGGACGACAGCCGGGATTCGGCCATACGTGATCCGCGGCTTCGTATCGCTTTCTCCTCCTCGTTCTCGGCCCGTCACAACCGGGTCACAAATTTAGTCAATTTCCGTTCATCGGGACCAACGGAGAATCGACTCGGGCCGCGTTTACCGATCTCGGCTTACGAACACCCCGTTTTCGCCCGCGAATCTGCAAACACGTCGTCTCTCGTCACGCATCGACACCACATCCGATGCGCGTTCTGAGCTGCGCCGCGTGCAACTAAGCCACACCGTGCACACCGCTGCACCGCCATGGACCTAGCAAGTGGACAAGCTTTGGCACTTCGTCGTCGGACCAACCGGATCTGTTCTGTTTTCTGAACACCTACCGTTGTTCCGGCCAAATCTTCTCTTCTTACGTCTTCCACCATCCGTAAGGCCGCCGCTCTTCACGCACATATTTCTCTCTTTCTTTTTTTTCCACGGATCGGTCGCGCGTCAAAAGCGCACCTATCCGCATGTTGTTATACTTACCGCCGCACCCCAAGCATACATATTATTATTACATGCTCGTCCATGCGCATATATGTTCTTCTTATATATATATGTATACATACTATTACCTATTACTTCGCGCATATATATATATGAACACATTGTCACACGCGCGCACACATACACATACACTATATTGCTATATGTGTACTCGTATATATACACACAATTACACATATATTATATAATCGTGTTATATGTTAGTGAAAAGGAGAGACCGGTAGATTATGGTAGGTCAGCCTTTCTCGTGAGTGTATGAATGTAAATATATGGCGCGCCGCCGCCGGCCCCCGACCCCGCCCGCCCTCGTCATACCCTTTCTTTGCGATCACGACTAGCACCCCACCACCACCATAGATAGATACCACATATTTATAGCGTTTATACATTTATACAATACTTTATATAAAATAAAGCATCAGTATTTAAAACTCACTCTTGTCTATTCTCCAACGCAACTGCCACCGCATATTGATCGTATCATGCTTCTCTTTCTGTATTTCAATTTATTTTCTCGCTTCCCGTCTTTAAAACAATATTGGTTTATTGATCTTGTTTTATTAAAATTTAACTATTCCGCATAAACTCCTTTTAGTGATAATTATCAAAATTACTATGTTAATTTATTCATTGTATATTAAGTTGCTCTACACTTGAAATTAAATGGTCTGCGAATTTAGATTATTTTTTATAATTCTCACTTTATTATTTTTTTTTATTCTTGCAAGTTTAAAACTAAATAGACAGTTTATTATAAATTAGTTTATTATTACATTCATTTGTATTTCTCAAAAGAAATTCGATATTAATTGCTAAAGTTAAAATCAAGGAAATATTTATATTTTTTTAACATGCACATATTAATGCTGCTGATATTATCATGTATAATTATTTATTAATATTTTTATGTATTAATAATATAAAATTTATATATATTTTCTTGAATTTATGGAAATTAATATCTACTCTGATAATCTGTCTAACATGAATTATTGGATTTCAATATACGAGCTATTGAGTTAATACGATCAATATGTTGTTGACAATAGATGTACTAATTTGATTATTACGAGATGTCGGAGCAAAACAAGTAAAAAGATTGTAACACGAATTAAAATTAATTTTAATTATTTGCTCCAATTTTAACCAAGAGATTAATATTGAAAAAAATAAGTTTACATCAATAATCAAATTATTTCGATGCTTTTATTCATTTAAATACGAGGGAGAGTCGAAAAATATGTCGGTCCACATGGCAATAAAAAGAGACTGTAAATATTAAGATTATTTTTTTACTCTCTCTTGTATTTAATTATTAATTAAATTTTTTTGTTTTAGGACCATATCCTCATACATTTTTAATACCCATTTTTTATAAATAACGATATAAAAAATTAATTTTAACTTTCATTTTTGCGGAGAAAACATTTTTATCTCCCAGTTGTAAGTATTAATTTTATATTTAATAGAATAATTTAATAGATTTACAATATTTTATAGAATTTTATAGAAATATATTTTATAGAAATTTAATATATTTAATAGAATAAAAAATTTGCACATATTTAATAGTGTATAATGCATATTATTTCTCACTGAAATATCATAAAAATAATGCGATTTGTGATCATGATTATTAATTGTTTTGTATTTAATATTTATTTATATATTGACAAATTTAATTTTTTTCAGATTCCTGCATACATTCTACTGCATTCTACTACGAAATATTAAATTTCATGGTAAAATAAACATCCTTGATTTATAGTTTTTAATTATCGAGAAGCTGCGCTAAGGCAGCACAATAAGAAAGACTGCAACCAATAAGTTTATGACATTAAGGCAAGCGTTTTAGTTGTTTATATTTGCATCTATATAATTTGCGAGCAATACAATATTATTATATTCAAAATATTTATAATAATATTAATTTATATAAGAAAATATGATAAATAATTAATTGATGAGAAACGATATAAACAATATTATATGTGCAGCATATGCACTTTGCAATGTAATAACTTATTATGTTTGCAGCGTTAATATAACATCAATTAAAAGAGAAATAATAAAAAAAAAGGAAAATTAAATATTAAATTCACAAGACTTGCAATTATGTTACTGAAACAGACAGTTACTAATTAATCATCTATTACAGAATCATTTTTCAGCGTTACTATCGTTAAAATATTTTTAGTGCAGATTTTCCCTTTCACACGGAAAATTTTCTCATTTTCCTTATCTTTATAATTTTATATCTTGTTAAAGTGTGCTTAAGTAGAAACGCGGACTATAAATTATTTAATATTCAATTATACTCTAAGTTCCTTGAGATGCCTCTAGCATTAAATAAATAATGTTGTTTGTTAGAAAATAATACTTATAGAATAACACTTTATTAGAAGAATAAAAAGAAATTGTAATTAGCTTATCTCGCGTATACTGATAAATTTTTATTCTGATAAACGACACAAAGTGAATGATTTATTCAGATATTATCATCAAAAGCTGCTAAAAGCAAAATACGCGTGTGTGTGTGTGTGTGTGTGTGTGTGTGTGTGTGTGTGTTGTGTTGTGTGTGTGTGTGTGTGTATTCATGGTTAAAGTTATTTCTCATATCCACTATTAAATTGTTCCGACTTCCTAAACATGAGAGCGCTGGGAGTACTCAAAAATCTACTTTAATGAAACATTAGATTGCAAATGAACCGCCTGTTGCGTTAACCTGCTTCGATAAGGAAATTTGTTTTGCTAATGTCCGTTAAAAGCCGGCTTATTTCAAAGTTTTACCACAGTAACTAATTTGCACGCTTAATAGGTTATATAAACATCTATTTACATCAATTTAAAAAAAATTACTCGGTTGCAGCATTCCCGAAATTAGTTATATTTAATTAATCAAAGCACCGTAACGAGAAGCACAAAACTGATACACGTATAAATTTACATTGTTAGATATTATTGTTAAATTTTTCAATGATATTATGTCTTTATTATTTCCTTATGTGAAGCATTTAACATATGTTTATTGAATTTAATTTACGTGTCACACTTACTATTAATACATTAATGTAAGCTTTGTTGTTCTAACCGATTATCATTAAATTACCAATTATTAATTTTGATATAATCAAGCGTTAACGGTGCTAATTAAATTACAGTTAATTACAGAAGGATCGAACAATGCTGGCTTTCTATATTGAAAACGGATAATTTTCTCACTTAAGCACAGAAGACAATCTCTTTGTTAAGATGAATACAGTAATTGGCAAACAGGTAATCGAATAAAAGTTGGTTCTCGTTTATAAGAGAATCTCTATTTTTCATCGCGAATAAGTATTATAAACTGAATTGAACATTCTGTCGTGCTTTGTGTATCAGAAAATAAAGTAATGATGTTTCGTCGGATTTGTCGCAAATTCTCTGCTGAGCGTCTATAAAAGGGTTGTAAATCTTTTTCGCTGAGCACGGTAAACGACTGCTTTTACGTTTCTCCGCAGTGGACCACACAAATAAAATAAAACGTTGTGGATGCGTGCTAAGCTCTGGAATCAAATGGAGTCTTTTCGGCGATGGGAACACTGACTGGTGATGTGACAGAGAACATGAAATGCGGATACGTTCGTGTTTCTTTTTTTCCCCTCGATCTTTCCCACACTTTTCTACTTTTCTGTGACACACAAATAGTACGTTCCACCAGTTCCAGAGTTGACACACGAAAAAGAGTCATATTTTCCTCGAAGTAGAAATACTTTAGTCCTCCAAACGTATATTCAATATGAAATCCAAGAATAAAATATCGCAAATTTTAAATCGTGCTAAAGTTTCTATTTTTTTCTCTTTTTTTGCAAAGCTTTATTCAGCAAAAATTGATTTTATTTTATCATGACAAATATAATAAAGTAAAATAGAAATATTAATAAATAAATAAAGTATAATTTTTATATTACTACATTTCACTCTATCTATTTATTTATTTTATTATTTTTGGCAAGTTCAAAAATTTTAAAATGTAATAATTAGATGAATTAAATAATAGATTAATAAATTTATAATACTGTTCTTTGAAAAATGTGTTTTGTATCACAAAATATTTGCTTGTCTCGCGGAGTGCTATTCTCCATAAAAATTTATCATGTTTGCTTTTTCCAGGCAATTTGGATATAGCTGCTGAATGTGAAGTTTCTGAATTATTAATGGACCTCATTCAAAGATAGTAACAAATTTCTACAGATGAAATTTTAAAGAAATAAGCATTATAGACATGTAAATAATTCAATAATTAAAACAAACTTAATATTAATATCTTTTAATTACGAATAATGGATTTTGCCTAAAAATATTCTGAATTTATTCTGGAATAATAAATATTGGCTTGACTCATACATATCGCGCCTGACATAATATTTTACGCTTGAATAAAGACACGAAGAAAGAGGAAGATACGAGCAAGATTATGATTACTGCGAAGAGCCGTAAGTTGTGTCACACAAGACATGCCTTTCGTAACGACTGCAAGGTAATAATTAGTGGAGATGGCAGCCTATAACAGAATGCCGGATACGGAAAGGCGCGGTCCTTTCACTCTCGGGGGTGTGCGATTATTGCACGGGTTTCCTAGAAGAATTTATTTGCAGAGCATTATGAGTTGTTTCATTTTACGGTCAAGGTTACTTTGCATAAGAAAAATATTTCACAAGTTATCTTATAAATATAATAAACTCTGCGGAGATTAAAATTATAAAGTGCAAATAATAGAAACATATTTTCTGAAGAGTGGAAAAAGTTTTACAAAAAGAATTTTTATAATTTAAAAATATACATGTTTGTGGATACTTTAAATATAATTACGAAATTTCGATAAATTACATTCATATTTAATTATGCTAAATTTTATTTTTATTTTTGTATAAATTGAAGTTTAGCACTATCCAAGACTTTCTATGATCTCACACGAAGCAGCGAGTAGATTGCAGGCTCCCATAAACATCGCGATGCATTGCATCCGTACTGCGCCGCAGACAATGACTGCAAATGTCAGTCTCACCATTAGCATTGATCACGCTCAATCGCGGCGGGGCAACCGTACCTCTTTCGATCGCTTCACGTAGGTACGAATTTTCAGAACGTGATGCCGTGGATAAAGTCGTACGGCGGCGCACCGCCTTGTGAAACGTTTGCAGACACATAGTGTTTTATAGCGCAATTAAAGCAGAATGGATCATACTTAAAGGTCGAATTTTCGATTTCTTTCACGCGCTCCTGTTCGTCTAATAACACATTCGAAACATCTGTTTAGCACAACTTGCCAACAATGTATCTTTTCACACAATCTTTGAGAATATTTTTTCGGCATAATGATAGATTTGTATCAAATTCATGATTACTTTCAAAAAGAGAATAATAATATTCTGTCATGTGACAATTATTTGGATATTTATGCTATGAAAATTTTTTTATATAAAATAACGTTGATATAAAACTATTATTTTAAGATTAGATATTTTTTTAAAATGGTATAAAGAGTATTAAAATAAAATTTAAATTGTTTTGCATTATTATTTAATTACATAATTATATAATTTACATAAATATAATAATTAATTATCTTTTATTATTTAGTCACACATAAATGTCGTTAAAAAATGTATGCAAACAAATAAAAATACTATTGCAAATAGAGTGATGTAAAGTCGCAAAAAGGAATCTAATATGTCCGAGAAATATGTTTTCGCGAACAATAAATATGCAGCAGTTATCACGTATCTCGTAATTGTTATCAGAAACGTGATATTCACACAGAATTAGAGCATTCGAGATCGCATCTTTCATCGCACCCATTAAAGGTCGAGTGCGCGATGTCGGTTGGCTTCATCGGTTATATATTGCATTGAAAAGCACATTAATTCCTGAGAGCGCGGCTCTTTCCCAGCCAGCGCGCTCTCGACGCCCGCGTCGATTCACCTTGCATATCGCATAAATTGCAACCTAGAACTTCGTCATATTACAAACTGCTGCATTCATGACGGCACGTACCGTACCGTATTTTAAATACTTACATAATAATATATATTACTCCAGTAACATGCAAATGCACGGGTGAAATTCAAAATTTAGTTAAACAGAATTTCGATTGTGCGATAAAACTCGAGATCAAAAACATAAAAGAAATGTTTAATAATTATGCACACTCGCGGAGTCGAGGCTTTATAAATTTTAACTACTCTACTCTCTCTTCTCTCTAACAGTGAATGTAACGATTAAACTTTATTCATTATTACGCAGGTGAAACAAACAGAGTTCTCCAAAATTATACGCTATATAAAATTTTCTACTATGCGATTAAACTTGAGATCAAAAACATAAAATAAATGTTTAATAATTATGACACTCGTGACCGGTGCCTTTATAAATATTGTGCTACTCTACTCTCTCTTCTCTCTAACAGTGAATGTAACGATTAAACTTTATTCATTATTACGCAGGTGAAACAAACAGAGTTCTCCAAAATTATACGCTATATAAAATTTTCTTCACTAACTGTGACTAAACATTTAGATACAATCCAAATTTTTTATGATTAATAATTAATCGTGACCGGTGCCTTTATAAATATGTGCGTCCTCTTACAATGAATGCGGTCGAGGATTTAGCGTGGATAATCGAATCTCTTTGGCGCGCCTAAAATCCTACGCATAATTATTTATAACTGAATATCTACTATAATTACGCATGCATAAGACATAAGCATGCAGGATTAATTCTCTGTATTTTGGCGCGTTTGAATATTTCTGTCTATTAGCAATTTTAATTTTAATGCACTCTTGTATTATCAATATTCATACGAAGCTCATATGAGATTCATAGCTCTTTTCACTCCAAATTTGCCGTAAGAGGTATGTTAACGAGTTTGCAATCCACCCTATACGTGGCCTGCAATCTTTGGGGTTAAGGCTCGGTTGCCCTTCTCTCCAATGACTCAATCGCCCGGCTGACCTATCCTTCTACGTGGTCGCGTAATTGAGATTCAAAATCTAAGTAGCGGATACTTCAAAGGAATTTGTTACTCTCAATTCGATGGAAATTACTCATTGAGGCTAATTTGTTGCTCGTAATGATGTAAGGCGTATCTGCGTTCTCCATAATGCAATTGTGCAACACGCAATACTGAGGACAAAGAGCAATTAATGTAGTAATTATTATTAATAACGCACCTTTAGTAAAATAATATAATTATTACAGAAACCGATTATCTGTTGAACAAAGCCCATAATACAATACATGTGACAATCTGCTAAATTATAAGATATTTCTGTTAAACGTATCTTATCGTTATTAGAGTGTTGAAAAATTGTAAAAAATTGCTTTTACATTTAGCTATTTGCATCATATTCTTGTTAATCGGGAACATCTCATGATTTTCAAAAAATCTTCTCTTAGACCGTTGCGTGAAGCGATAAGCTTTAGGCAATTTGTTTTCCAAAATTGATGTATGATACCTGATATCTTCCGAAAACTAACTTTCGTCGCCATTTACCTTCCGCATAGAGATGGAAATCGGAAGACTTCGAACTTTTCGCGAGAGAGAATCATTTTTCGGGGTAGAATCTCAGCGCCGAGTGAACTCATTTTAACTTTTTCCCAGGGTTTCGTCTGTGGAAGTCGTTCGACGAGTCGACGACGCCAAGAGTGGGTGTGTCAAACACCGATCTTACACAATGCACAAGATTCCATTGCAGACCAGCATGATTTGAAAGGTTAAACCAGGTCATTCATATACGTAACAATTGCGTGTACCTTCACAATTGCAAATAAAACAAACATAACAACGAGAACTTGTTGAAATGAATTATACTTATTTTATTTGTAATAATTTTCTCTTTTCAATTCATTTAAACACAGGTTTACTTAATCTTTTACTTCTTTTCATGCCTGTTTTCCAGCTTTCTTGCATACTAAAGAAACTTTTAAGAAAGACATAAAAATTGCTGAAGAAACTTTCATAAAAAAAAAGTATAAAAAATGTGAACATTAGAAGAAATAAAACATCTCTTCTGCTTTTAGAAATAAAAAAATCATTGTTATGGACAAACTTGTATGGCTTGAAGAGACTATATAATAACAGAGAAAAGAATCAAAACCGTATAAAAACAACTTTAATTTCAATAAATGTTTCCGTAGATTTTCTAAAGCAAAAATAGAGTACGTTATTAAATATTAATTTATAAATTCGTCAATTACAAAATTAAATAAATGATATAATCTTTTGTGTTCAGTGGGAAAATGCGTACGTGAGTTTGTAGTCAGAATATATCCATTGCAAAATAATAGAGTATCGCAAAATAATAGAGTTCGGTTACGCGTATTGTTAGTCAGCGTTAGTCAGCAAGCTTCAGACGCTGAAACACGCGGATTAGACAAAGGAGGTTGTTTCTGAAATTTCTAAACCACGAGTTCCCGGCGAAGGTCATGCAAGGGTTTCATGTCCACAGAAGGGTGGGTGTGCCGGATGACCTTCTTACACAATGAACGAGAGACCGACATCGTCAACGGATATGATTTGAAGGGATCAGTGGGGGGCGCGGTTGGAGATCCTGGGGAGACTGTATATAAAGTCCGCCGAAGTCGGTCGTAGAAACATTCAAGCAATCGCCGGACGATACGATGAAGACCCTCGTAAGTATTTGTTTTGACAGTCGGAAGTGCGCGCTCTTGACTTTTTTTTTTCTTCTTATCAAACGAACGATCAACGTGCTAAACGCTGTTTTTTTTCAGCGAATTGATGAAGTGAGATGCATTAAGTGACAAACGCGTTGCAAATATATAACACATTTTTATCGAAAAATTTAAGACAGTGATACAACAACTGAATAATTATTTCCGCTTAATGTCACATCATAAATATAGCTTTAAAGCACCATTTTGTGAAACCAATTTTCTTTCAAAATCAAATTTCCATTGTTTAGACAAAAAGATACTTCGTATAATACATCGAAATAAGAGCTGTAGCTATAGCTGCAGCTTATATCGCTGGACTCACCTGAAATCGAACTTTTCAATCCGCAGTTCATCTCGTTTGCTCTGTGCGCTGTCGTTGCCGCGGCACCTCGTGAACGACGAGAAGCTGTCTTGGCCGATCACGGATATTACGGGGGCCATGGAGCTTACGGGGGCCACGGAGCTTACGGCGGCCACGGAGCTTACGGAGCTTACGGAGGTCTAGGCGGCTACGGCGGACACGGGGTGGCTCTTGCCGGACCAGTGCTGGGAGCGACGAGCGTCGCAGGTCCTCATGTAGGTGCCACCGCTGTTGCCGGTCCAGCGATAGGTTCGGCTCGATTGTCCGGCTCGGCGGCTGGTCCCGTTCACGTTTCGGGCGCCGTTGCCGGTCCAGCTGTCGTCTCACCGTCAATCGCCGGCCCAGCGCACGTGGAAGGCTACGGTGGTCCGTATGACGGTGGCTATGGTGGAGGTGATGGTGCTTATATCGGTGAGTGATAATAAAATTTGTCGAATTCATGTTTTTAATTAAACTTTGAAAGCAGAATATTCTCTGTGATAAATAATTGGCGCGATAGAATTTTCCTAATTGGAAATATGGCTTGATAAATATTGTAAAAAGATTTAAAATGAAAGAATAAAGCGGATACAATAGTGGACATAAATTTAATTAAGCTCTTTTTTCGTTTTTTTTGTTTTTAGTAAATTTAATAACATTATACCATATATACTGTGTGTTATATGATGTGATATTTAATGCAATATGTAGCTTATATGTTTCAACAAATATTTTATACATATTAACGAATATCAGACTAAAATTTTAATCCGCCACTGTAATGCACTGTACAAAAGTGTATCAAATAATTTTAAATGTAAAGAAAAAGTTATATTGCTACAAAAAATAGTATTATCGTTACTAAGAATACTTTCCAAAATTTAAATATTTCTAACGAAATTATAAAGTAAACTTACTAAGAATAATTTTATTCACGCTACCCTTAAAATTTCCTTCTTTTCTGTGCAGGAGGTTACGCAGGATATGCAGCTGGTCCTGCTTACGGCTACGCAGGATACGCCGGCGGTCACGGTGGGCACGGCGGGCACGGCGGGCACGGCGCGCACGGAGTAGTCATAGCCGGACCGGCCAGCCACGGCGCGGTTCTAGCCGGACCTCATTCCGGAAGCGCGGCTGTTTCTGGACCGCACGCTGGTTCGGTGGTAATCGCCGGTCCTTCCGGAAAGATCACCGCTCACGGAAGCGGTTACGGTGCCGCCATCCACGCCGGACTTGGCCACGGTCACGGTCACTGGTAACGCATAGAAAAGTCGTCTGCGAAGCGCAAAAAAAGAGGATCATTTCTCTGAATACACCGTCGGGTAAAATAATGTCTCTTCAGCGTTTTTTTAAGAAAAATTTTAAAAGTATTATAGATATATATATATAATAATATAAAGTTGCTATAACACGACGACGCTCGTCGCGCTTGATACTCTCGGTTCATGGTGCGCGCATGGATACTTATGTCTTCTGTATGAATGGAATAAATTTATTCTTCTCTTTAGAAGAAGATATACGTATTGTAAAATATGTAAAATGTTTTGCCTGCTGTGTCGCATCGATATTAATATCTCATCGATCTCTCGCCTATGGAACTCACGCATATCTTATCGTATTGTGTAATGTTGTTAAATCTCAGCGTTTATAAGCGCAACTACTTATTCGCGAACAATTGAAGCGAAGTATACAATTGAAAGAGATACTGTTTGACTCTTCCGAAATTCTCCGGTGCTAAGTTATGCAAGTGACTCGCGTGGCAGCGTGTGGTTTTCGTGACAACGGCTAATTAACTAGCCCCCCCAACCCAATCTTTATCGGCAAAGCTCGAATTATCTATGATGAAAGCAACGATTGTAAGGCAATGTGGTCATTATCCTTTAACGGATCTGTCCGGTGGAGTAAAATCTTGAATAATTGTTTGCTACTTAAGCAATCCATTATTGCTCAAATTTCACGGGTGAAAGTATACAGTAGCGCGTTTCCAACTTTATGCATGAAACATTCATACTTCGGTGAAACTAAAATTGAGTTTGTAAGTTATACAATGAAGAAAGATCTCATTGATTAGATTTAAAATCTATTTTTAATTCTGCCGTTTGACGTTCATCGCACTAATACAGTTTTAATCCGCTCTCCAATCTTTATATCTAAATACGTAATATCTCATTCTTGCTTATCATTATTCACAAAATTTGTGCTACTATTCTGTCTAATAGTTCATTTAATCCAAAACTATTTCAAGCTTTCTTTGTAGTTGCACTTCATTATTTCGGTATTTTGTCGCAATTTTTCAGCGTAAAATATGGACAGCAGAAAATATGGAAAAAAATCCTTCCGTACTTCATTACATCGGGTACTCGTTTTATACCGTATCGCTCGAGATTGATTGCCGGCCATTATCGGCTGCGCGATTTTCACATCGCTCGATAATGGATTATTCACGATAGTCGCGCAGTGTCCATCCAGCACAGCACGCCCGGTAAATCAAGGAGCTGCAATCAAGCAGACTGACACAGATCCGAGCGTGAGCGTGTGCCTTAATGCAACGCGTAACGGGTCGTTGTGGTAAAGGGTAAGGTCATCATGAGCGTGACTCGCCGCGGACGTAGTCCGCCACTCAAACATGAAAAGTCATGGTCAGAGAGGGAACTAAATACAGCAAAATTAACCATAAAACATTAATGTAGAAATATGAAAGGTGAATCCTGTATCGGGTATAATTCCGCACACAAAATTATGTACCAGAATAAAATGTATAATTCCGATACGATTCCCTCGTAATTTTTTTTCTTTTTTTTTGGCACGAACGAGGCCTGATAATGAATTACGAACGAAACTGGAACGCCATGAAGATATCCGACATAAATTTGAGCATCGGCGCATCTAGCGAGCAATTTATATAGGATTTGCGCAAAGCCGAGTATAAAACGCGATTTACGATATTTATTTCGCGCGTGTGCAATTTATCGCGCGATTTACAATCACTGTATCGTCACGCACGGATGTTTAATCGCGGATTTGCATGTGCCCGCCTTTGTTCCTTCCTTTTTTTTTTTTTATATATAACGAATCTCTATCGGAAAATGATATACCCGGATCGTGCTTTATTTGCGCGGTGAGCACGGGAGGAATATCGAGCGGCGGTTAAGTGCGGCCTTAGCCTTATGGGAAAATCGTAACCCGAGCCGCGTCTCGGTTGAGATAGCAGCGACGCGGCTACGTAATCTCGCGCGTTTCATCATCGTGGCGGTGGCGGTTCGTGCATTGTGAGAATGCACCGAACCCCCACAAATTCCGAAAGGTCACCCACTTGCAATCGGTCGCCCACCATTGCGAGCGAGCGGAATAAGAAATGGATCGTACAACAAGCCACGCCGAGAGGGCTGCGTCGTATCTTCACAATAGACGCGCAGATATACGCAATGCGTATCGAAGTGCAACATATTAATCGCCACGCGGCGACAATGGTGGGCGATAATCGATCGCAAAATTAACGGGCGTCCGTAACAGCCACATCGCTCGCAGGCGGTAAGTTAACGCGCAATTGCGGCCGTGGGAAGACGTTGTTCCAATTCGCACTTGAGCTTCTAAAGTTCGCTCGGCAGTATTATGCAGTAAGCATTATTGAAGGATTACTGACATAATATTCTGAGCTATGATAGAACTATTACGTAGCACAAAGGTGAATTCCCTGCTATTCCACGTGCAACTGCAAGTCAGACGCTATACGCGCTTGTGGAAAAGCTAGGATAACCATGCAAATATGATGCTTCAAATATGATTTTGTTTTGCCATTCTAATCACTCATTTATATTTTATTTTACACTTGTATTATTTCTACGAATTACATGCGTTTATGTTTTCGTATATGTTACTTAATAATATTAATCATATAGTAAAATAAATCTTTTTATTTATTATGTCATTAATATTATTAAACTATTTTGCTTAAATCTGAAATAACACAACATACAATAGTTGACTATATCTATATAATAATTAATGAGGTAGATGATATTTTATATAAATAACTGGAAATCATCGGCTTTTCTTTGTCTTAGTATACACTCTTTCGCTTGACAAACAATTAAATACTTTATATTCGACAATGTCAGGAGTCTATCTGAATTTTTTTGAAAAAAGATTAATTATCTATCTAATAAATAGTAGTAGTTTTTGTTTGAAAGGACTTTTAACTGCAAGTAAATTAGTTTTTAATTAAAAGAATAATTAATTAAAAAATGTATTACTATTAATTTTTATAAATGTATGTATGTTTATAAACGTATTTTCATAAATGTAATTTAAAATTTTTAATTACTATAAAGTGCCTTTATCATTAATTACAATGAAATATAAAATATATTAATATTTGAAGCATTGCACTACAAAATGTGGTTCTACGTATTTCAGTTAAATCCGATCAAGATGCGCAAATTTATTTTGCAATTTAAAAACTTATGACATGTATCCTCAAATTTATACGTAATATTTTGTTTTCTTATAAATCTGGAGTTATTATATAACATTAAATTGAAAGCTATCGAATAAGGTAGACAAACTAGTTCATGCAATTTGCACGTAGTTGAATAGGCCGTCATAAGTATCGACTATGTGTCTAGCAACCCTGACAAAGGATCATTGTGTTCGCGCTTTCTGCGAGACGCATTTATAAGGGTCTGAAAACGACGGGTCCCGCGTGTAAATTCGTCTTTGTTGCCGCCATAAATCACGAGTCTTGTCGCGGGTCAGAATTACGACCGAGACCGATCGTCGTCGGCTACCGGATAGCCGGTGGCATTCCTGGAGAGATCGATCCGGAGAGAACATAAAGCAAGAAAGCCGGATTGTTTTCTCTTAGCAAACTCATTCTCTAGTTGTCTCTCTCTCTCTCTCTTCTCTCTCTCTCTCTCTCTCTCTCTCTCTCTTTCTCTCCCTCTCTCTTTCCCCTTCCGCGTTACAACAACTACGCGAAAATAAGCGAGGTGTGGCCGATAATAATGAAATGAATAGGGTGTGTAAAAGATTGTTAAGGTCGAGCCAGACTGTAGAGTAGTTGTGGATCGCGCAAGGTCGATCGATAAATCCTTCGACGGCCGTAAGATCCGCGAGCGGCGCACTTCTTTTCGAATGCCTACGGAGAATTAAAGAGAATATATTAATTTCTGGAGAAACGCGGAATTGAATATTGAGTTAAATATTTAGATTTGTTAATTATTATAAGTAATGTATATGTACATATATTTAAATTTAATCGTAAAATTAATTAATTAATTAGAACAGGAAATTATGTTAAATATTAATAAAATTAAATAAAATTCTAATTAAATTTTTAAAATAAAGTATAATAACAACTACTAATTTTAATTAAACTTTTTCTTTCTGCATAAAATAATTACGTATTTTTATCGATAATAAATAATTGCATTCCAATAACTTATTTGAAATTGAGTAATAAATGAATTGCCGAATAAAGTAGTCACCGCTTTATGACTCAAACATGAGAAACATTAGAGATCTTAAGGCCGCCATTCTTTACCATCGATTTTTAAATGTGAATTTTATTACGCAACTCTCAGATTCGCCGTTATAAAGGCGAAATAGTGTGAACGTATATCTTTCTAGTGCGATTTTATGGAAATATGGGACTCCCTAAATCTCAAGGATATATATGCACATTGAATATCTACTGTATGTTATACTAGTTCAGCAGTTTGTACTGTTTATGTAAATACAACTCACCTGAATCGTAAACACTTCACACCGAGTGATTTTGGAGATCTCCTTGGCGGAAGATTCCGAGCGGAAGCTGCGTGGAAACATCGCCGCTTCGCTGCACCCAGGGATCGACATCGATCTTTTGATATCAAATATGTTTCCGCTCTCGTTCAGATCTTGCGGCCGCGCGAAGCGTTTCCATCGACGACGATGGAAGATGCTGCGATTCGAAGCAGTGACTTTTCATCGGCCATCTCGGAGGAACATTGCGATTCAAGCTGATGTTAAGTGAGCTTTTATAGCCGGGGATACGACGGCTACGTGGGACGGCGAATTTGCAGCGGGATCAGGGCGGGGCTCTCTCGATCACTTCGCACTCCGCGCTCTGGGCACGCGTGACGGAGTTGAAAAAAAAAAACTCGATCAATCGGAACGAAAAGACACGAGATTGCGACGCAACCTCGAACCAAATTGGACACAAACCGCGCCCAAGCGACAAGGGGTGCACTACGATTCAAAGAATCGATTTTATCACTACGCGTCGTTTATTGGCGATCTAATGCAGCGATTATGTTAATCTAGAGATGGAAGGGAGAGATCTTTGAAACGGAGCTCTAAATCAGCATAATAAACAGCAAGATATTTATTGCTACAATGGACAAGTCGTTTGATAATTGTGCAATTGAATTAATGAAGGGGAGTTGATAATAATCAAATCACTTTGTTAATATCATTAAAACAATAAATAATAAAAAATATATGTTGTTGCGGTATAATTTGAAAAAATGTTCTTAAGAAAAATGACAATCCGACAAGATGAATAGAACACTTTATTGTGCTTGACAGACGAATAATTTGATCGCGCAATCGATCAATCCGAGTTCCGCATTGAAAATCTTCGCAATGAACGATACACCACTCTACAATACTTGAAGCAGAGTTCACTTGACAGTGCGTGGTGATTGATGATGTGCAAAGCGAAATTTACAGCGATACTAGCGATCACTTGATGAAAGCGTGTAACATTGTAGCCGACGGCTCGGCACAGCTATTAGCCGAAATGGTAATCGATTAATGCATAGGATGCGCACACTTGTGAGCAGCTGTAATAATCCCTTTATATCACATTTCAAGCTTTGTAATTGTAAACTTGGTATAAAGGATATCAGCATACATATGTAGCCAAAACCTAGTCGGCCGATCGCAAATCACAAGAAATTATATGTCATCGTTAATAGCGATGGCTATCAGTTATGGCGATGATTAGTTTACAAATTATTCTATGCAAGATAAATAATGATACGCTGGAATATAATTACAAGGGTGATACAATTTCCTAAATTTGATATAACGAAGATTTCGCACAAATAGAACGAATGAATACGTTCACATAATTTAATCGGGAAATACGCAGTTGGCATTTCGCCAAATTCCGTCGTAGAAAGCGCTTCCGGTGTAGAAACGCTTTTTCGGAAACCGAGAAACTTTGAGAATCGCTGATCTACGTCGGAATACAGGGCGTACAAAGAAATGATAGTGAGGGGAAGTGACGAAATGTCCAAGTTGATAACAGCGTTTGTTGTTTTTCATACGTTCAAACGTGTCGGATGCAGTTCTATTGAAGTCTGATTCAATGGGCGGGATGACGATGGAAAAAGCGGTGAAAAAGGGTGAAAAAGTTTCCGCGCTGCTCAATCAACAGTCACCTCGGCGCGTTCGAGACTGTGCACGACGCCTGATAATGGCACCGCAAACGATTCCTGGCACCGTGTCTGCGATTTGTTGCGAATTTAGTGATATCGTTGCGCGCGCGTGCGCGCGCGCGCCTGCATACACGCGCATACACACATATCAAACAACTATCCGACAACAATAGGACCCTCATTCCTGACGACAATCTGCAAAGTACGGATGACGCGTGGGCAATGCAACCCGTGCCTCGCCTAGACGGATGTACAATGCAACGCAATGTAATCGTTCTAATGGCGACAGACACTTGGCGACGACAGAGACCATTTACGGGCTGAGAGAAAGCAGGAAGAATATACATAGGAAACATGAATCGTCTTTATTCTCAAGGTCGTTCATGACTGGATGTTCACGACCATGATCTTATGCTTCACGCATTACGGTAGCAAGAATATTACGAAAATATTACAGCGATGTTACGAATGTAATGAATGTAATGAATGTAATGAAATAATGAGTAACATAAATTTTTGCGAAATATTTTTTGTTGTCCGGGAAGAAAGTAAATCTGAATTAAAAGTGCTACGCAATAGAATCTTTAAAAGTCATAAAATTTCGTCGATGAATAAAAATTCTGATCATAAAAGTACATAACTATTTGCTTCGGATCAAGTTGACCCTTAACGTCAATCACATCTGCAACTGCGCATTCCAATACGAGCAAAAGTAAATATTATATCAAGATATCAATCTGATCTATTGTTGTTGCTGCTATCGATTGCGCGAGCAGACCGAGGCGACAAATGCAACGTACTATGTTACAAGTCCATAGACGGATGCGTTGAAATGGAGCAGCGCGACCCTCGGGCCCGATATGCGGCGGGGTGAGACGTCGGGTACACTCTAGTAGCACTAGCAGCGGTGACTGACTTAACGCTGATAAGTCGATGATACGTCGCCGCAGCTCGTGGAGAATGTTTGGCGTGTCCTGTGCCCCGCCCTTGGGGTTGGCGGGAGCAGCTGCGAGCGCCGGGCTCATTCGGGGACACTGTATCCCTATAAAAGCGTGTTGGACGCCGGTCGATGGCAGCCACATCTACCTTAGCCATCGAGACAAATTCTCCTGACGTTGTTCCAGCGACAATCCTTCTCTTCACCATGTGTCCCTTAATTGCGATTTTTCTCGTAGCGACTCTGTCGGTGGCGACCGCGGCACCATCCGCTTGGGGTCTGGGTGCCGGTGCCGCCCTAGCCGGTCCGATTCTAGGACCTGCGGCCCTCGCTGGACCTATTAACGGACCGTCCGTACTGGCAGGACCGGCGGTTGGACCTGCACGCATATCCGGAGCCGTCGACGGCGGTGCTGTTGTCACTGGTTCTGTTGCCGGACCGTCGATCGTTTCCGGTAGCGTCGCCGGACATGGAGCCCTGATCGGGCCGGCTCTTGGCTACGCGGCACCGGGCTGGGCATCAGCTTTAGGTAAGCTACGATAAACTAGAAATCGTTATTAACTAATGCCAAATAAAAACTTTGACACTGTAACAAAAAAATTGATTACAAAGTCTTATTGTGTCAAAATGTTTTTAATCAAGGCAATTTGTAAAATTAAAATTACGACAATTTTATTAAATTTAAATTTATAGAACTGCTATTTGAATTTTAATCTCAGTTAATATAATGAATTAATAATTCTTTAATCTTAAAATTTATTCTACATTTTATTACATTTTAAAAGCTTGCAAAGCTTTACAGCTCGAAACTCTCTCTTTGAAAATGTGTTTTAAATGTACATTTGGTTTCATCAATTTTATATGGATATTACATTTAGCTTTGTCTTTAAAAAATATTTTATTTTAATTACGCAATGTGGGCCAAAGTTATTACTGTGTCTATTTTATAAATGTGTCGATATATTGTACTTTTTTAGGAGCAGTGGTTGCTGGTCCTGCTATTGGTCCAGCTGCTCTCGCCGGACCCATCGCAGCACCAGCTTTAATCGCTGGACCGTCCGGTAGCATTTCTGCTGGTCACGCTGGTTTAGGCGGTATCATTCGTGGATGGTAATTCCCTTTATCCGGCATGAACTAAGGACCTCCGCGACTGATCTCCTCGGCACCTCATCATCTCGACGACACCGCATCATGATCTTCGTCATACCGTATTTTTATGTATTTTGTGTACATAACAAAGTTCCGTACATATGATATTATATATAATAATAAACGCATAGCACTTCTGGAACGAAATTTTTAGCTTGTTTTTTTTTTCGCACTTCTAATTTCTAGTTTATGTAATTAGAAACTTTCACTGTACGTCAAAATTTAGTTGAAATAAGTAAGTTTCTTAACATTCATCAATCAATCAATCAATCAATGTAGTGAAAAAACAACAAATAAGAAATAAAATAAATCACGGTTGGTAATGCGTATAAATAATATTCTTACTGTACTCAGTAATTAATTTAAAGTTGCAAAAACTCTAATTCCCTTTTTTATAAATATTTAGATCTTATCAATGTGAATAGAGAATATCGATTTCCGATTTGACGTTCTAAATTATTTTCCGCTAATTAAAAAAATTGCAAAGAATTAATAAAAAACATAAGCAAAAGAATAATAAAAATTAATTTAAAAAAATGCCAATAGATAATGTTATCAGAAGCGAGCTAAAAATTAGTTGTCATATTTTTTTAAAGCGCATTATGCAATATTAAATATGTAAATAAAATTTGAATGATAGCTTTTTTCTTTTTTCAATAAATAGGCAAGGCCCGCTTATTGTTTCGGCGCGTATAATATCACTTTGGAAACTAATCAAGATCGGTATAATTAATCAGCGGTCTCCATTTCGCGGTCTATTGTGCTACCATTGATACCAACATCTCCATTATGCGACCACCTTCTCCGATAATTGTGGGAAATTGCCTCAACACCAATCAGTCGCATATTCTCCATGTAAAGGCAATAAGCGCTTTTCACTTCGCTTCTCGATGCACATTCGCATTGCGACATTCTGCGCATACCGGTCCTTTAATCTCCGTTTTCAATCACGATCACGAATGCAAGACACCGTGTTATAATGGAGCATCCCGTTCCGATTTCCATCTGCTTCTCGCGCGACTGTGGAAACTGCGCAAATTATGGCCGCATCGTCCACGCGCATTACCATCTCAAAAGAGCGCTCCTCTACGCTTAGAAAAGCATCGTGCAACAAGTACTATGAATTCTTATAAAAGCAGACCGTGTAAATTATGGAACTTTTGTAAGTGCTGTTAGGTGGTAGAATAATAAATATGTACGATCAAACATGTAAAATACGTTGATTGCAACAATTAATATAAATGTACAAATAAGATGCATCTAATATTTTTTATATCCGTGAAAAATAATATTGGTTTTTTAATATTTTTAAATCTTTAAATTATTTATAATTTTATACTGTTAAACTGACTTTAATAATTTACAACGTATCCCAGACCATTTGTATTAGCAGATTTCTAGCGAATTATATAATAATTATATTATATATAATTTTTTAAATAATATATATATGAAATTAAGCTATGGTTTCAACGTGGTATTGATAAAATTCGCTATTGGTGCAGCAGCTGCGATAAGTGCTACATCTAGCACTTGTTGGTAGACTGGACGTTGTCGTAATTTTCTCGTGCGAAGCTGAACAATGTGTTAACGTCGCTAGTATGCACACAGAGCACATTATACATATATATATATATATATATATATATATATATATATATATA